CTTCTGAAGAAATAGGAAGCCAACAAAGAATATCATTCATTCATTCGTTCATTCATCAATAGAGCGTCTATTATGTATCAGAGATATTAGATAACTAAGAAAACTACCAATTACACTGCAGGCCGTGGAAACACATAGGGAGGTGCTTGAGACACATTTATTGGGAAATGGAAGTTTGGTTTCAAGAAAGGATTTTAGAAGGTCATGTCTGACAACTGAGTTGAGTCCTAGAGGATACAGGGAAGGAAGCCTCATGTTCCAGTTACTATGGCTCTGTAACAAATTACCCACCTGGGCAGGGGTGGGGAACCTGCAGCCTTGGGGCCACACATGGCCTTCTGGATCCTTGAGTATGGCCTTTTGACTGAATCCAAATTTTACAGAACAAATCCTTTTAATGATGGGATTTGTTCTGTGAAGTTGGATTTGGTCGAGGGGCTGCACTTGGGGATTTGGAGGGCTACATGTGGCCTTGAGACTGCAAGTTCCCCACCCCATGGCTTAAACCTATGACAAAATGTTTTACGTTCAGAAATTCTGTGGGTCTGGAATTCAGACAGAACACGTAAGGCACACCTTGTCTCTGCTCCATGATGTCTGAGGCCTCAGCTGGAAGACTGGAAGGCTGGGAGCTGGAGTCCTCTGAAGACCGATTCACCCACATGCCCACTGGTTGATACTGGCTGTTGGCTGGGGGCCTCAGTTCCTCTCTACATGGTCTCTCTGCTTGGACTACTTTGGATTTCCTAAAAATATGATGGCTCATCCCCAGTGTTAGCATCCCAAAAAGAAGGAGTTAGGAAGAAGCTACATCCTTTTTATGTCCTAGACTTGGAAGTCAGGTAGCATCACTTCTGCCATTCCCCATTGGTTGGAAGGGTCATAGTTCCTACCCAGACTCAAAGGGAGGAGAATAGATCCCGTCTCTGGATGAGAGGAATGTCCAAGTCCCAAAGAGCATGTGAGATGGGATAAATATTGGTGTGGCCCTCTTTGGAAAATCCAGTTTTCCAAACCAACCAAATAGAAGACTAGGGATCAACATGAGAGAGAACCAAAGGAGGGAAAAAGCATCACCGGTTCTGAGAACTACAAACAGTTTAGAGAGGCAAAGATGTCTAGATGCCCGCCAATATACATTCTCCCCTTCATTAATAACAGGATTTCTGAATTTTAATTGGACATGATGGCTGCTCAGCTAAATGACTATGTTTCTCAGCCTCCCTTGTAGCTAGGTATCATCTCACGATTAAGTTCCAGCCAATGACATACAAGTGAAAATATTAGGTGGAAATTCCAGAATGTGTCTTTTAAAGGGAGAAAGGTGCGCTTTCCTCCACCCCGCTACCTGGAATACAAATGTGATTGCCGGATTCTAGAAACTATTTTGGACTATGAGGACCAGGGCCATACTCCAGATAGTAGAGCAGGGAACTGGAAAGAGCCTGGGTCCCTGATAACTTGACTGAGCCGCTCCAAGAACCCCGGACTGCCCATTTCCTGACATCTTTGTATCTGAAAGAGAAAGGAACTTGAAATTGTTTAAAACATTTTCTGGTTCTCCGCTATGTTCAGCGACACCTAATTGTAATTAACTCACTCAGATTAGCTATGGAGTCAGGTGCACAGAAGGGAGTGGTAAGGGCACTGAGAGAGCTAAAGTAGGCAAGAAAGCTTCCTTTGTCGTGCTGAGAAAGCTGGAATTTATCCCGATGGTCCTGAAAGGGAACTGAAGGGGAGTGCTATGTTTAGATTCACATGTGGATTTAGATTTTTAGGTTTAGAAAGATCACCCTGGTGCCACTGGCTTAAGCCATAATTTTGCCCAAGACCTACCCTACTGCAGTGGTTCTGAAACCTTAGAGCACATCAGAATCCCCTGGAAGTCTTGTTAATATACCGATTGCTGGCCCCCAAGCCCAGAGATTCTGATTCAGTAGGTCTGGGAAGGGTCTGAGAATCTGCATTTCTAACCAGCTTCCAGGTGCTATTGCTGCTGCTGGTCCACGGACCACATTTTGAGAATCATTGCCCTAAAATAAGTCCTATCAAAGTACCCTAAGGGCAGGGAGTGTGAGTTCTGGGGAAATCCTTCCCCCTTTCAACATGACGGGAATTAAGATCTGCCTACAGACCACAGCCTAACACTTGCTTTTGCGGCCAAAAGCAACCAGGAGGGAGGAAAAGGCACTGTGTGTACTAAAATGTCCTTCAACATCTTTGTCTGCACAGGCTGGTGCCCCAGCTTCTTAAACCAAGTGTGCCTGAGTATCCTCACCACCTCCAAAAAGCTGAAGAAGGACATGTTCTTGTCTTAATCTTCTCTGGTCTGCTACTCTGAACCTATTTCCTTGGCCAAAAAGATGGGGCAGTGATATCAACTTTGCCCCTGGCTGGGGCATGTGCCAGGGCCCTTTGTATGCCAGAACTTGCTAAGCATGCTGGTTAATAACAAGGCAACTCTCTAATTATATACTGAAGTTCTGAGGATGTGAGGAAGGGCCTCACTGTTAGTGTGGCATGGACCAGGGCTGTGGCTGGCAACCAAAACACTCCCCTTTGATGCCCATTGGTTGTTCACATAGGTTGTTCCTGTGTGGCTTCAGGGAGGGCGTCTCAACCTTGGCAATGGATTGCATAATTTTAGACTGGATAATTCTTCATTGCGGGGTGGGGGCGGGGGGGGGGCGTCCTGTGCATCATAAGATGTTGAGCAGCACCCCTGGCCTCTTCCTACTAGATCTCAGCAGCACACGCACCCACCCCCCAGCTTGTAACAATCAAAAGTATCTCCAGAGACCTTTGGAGGATGAAAATGATTTTTTCAGGCCTGGCATACACATAACAGTGCTTAATAAATGGCTGCTTAGAATTAAGATGTATCTCATCGAAGAATGCCTCAGGCCGCCTCTCTAATAACCAAGCAGATCCCACCTCCCCTGCCCTATTTTTTAAGATCCTGTGCAATGCCACTTCTTCCATAAACACTTCTAGATTCTTCCCACCCCTAGTTGTATATAATCTCCCATTCCACACTGATGTCTGTTAGTTTGTATTCCTCCTGGACACTTGCCATGTAGTATCCTAAGTATTTAACCACATGTCTCCTCTCCACTATTCACAAATTGAATTCGCTATTTACAAAGGTGACTTTAAAAGAACTTTAGCACCTTCCCATCTTCTCTTCCATGAAAAGTATACACATTTGACATTTTCTTTTGCTGTTATTTTGTTTGTTTGTTTGTTTGTTTGAGGCAAGGTCTTGCTCTGTTGCCCAGGCTGGAGCGCAGTTGCACGATCATAGCACTATGATAGATCCCTGTAACCTCCAACTCCTGGGCTCAAGTGATCCTCCTGCCTCAGCCTCTGGAATAGCTGGGACTACAGGTGCACAGAACTGTGCCCGGCTCACATCTGACATTTTCTAAAGCATATATAAAATGTGAAGAAAACTTTCACAATCTGTATTCCTTTGCAATAATATATAACCTAAGTAAAAATGTTTCTTAAAATCTATTAATAACATTCATTGTGAACTTAACAGGAACCAAGCCCTGTTAAAAACACATTACAGGAGCCGCACATGGTGGCTCACGCCTGTAATCCTAGCACTCTGGGAGGCCAAGGTGGGGGGATCGCTCAAGGCCAGCCATTCGAGACCAGCCTGAGCAAAAGCAAGACCCCGTCTCTACTAAAAAAAAACAGAAAGAAATTAGCTGGACAACTAAAAATATATATAGAAAAAAATTAGCCAGGCATGGTGGGACATGCCTGTAGTCCCAGCTACTCGGGAGGCTGAGGCAGGAGGCTCGCTCGAGCCCAGGAGTTCAAGGTTGCTGTGAGCAAGGCTGATGCCACAGCACTCTAGCCAGGGCAACAGAGTGAGACTTCGTCTCAAAAAAAAAACCCAGGCCGGGTGCAGTGGCTCACGCCTGTAATCCTAGCACTTAGGGAGGCCGAGGCGAGCGGATTGTTTGAGCTCAGGAGTTCGAAACCAGCCTGAGCAAGAGCGAGACCCCGTCTCTACTAAAAATAGAAAGAAATTAGGGTGAGGAGAGAGGGGTGAGGAGGGGACGGGCATATGCACAAACAATGAGTGCGATGCGTACCTCCAGGAGAATGGACACACTTGAAGCTCGGACTTGTGGGGGAGGGAGGGTAAGGGCATCATATGTAACCTAATCATCTGTACCCCCATAACATGCTGAAATAAAAATTAAAAAAAAAAAACAAAAAAACACAAAAAAAAATAGAAAGAAATTAATCGGACAACTAAAAATATATAGAAAAAATTAGCCGGGCATGGTGGCGCATGCCTGTAGTCCCAGCTACTTGGGAGGCTGAGGCAGAAGGATCGCTTGAGCCCAGGAGTTTGAGGTTGCTGTGAGCTAGGCTGACGCCACGGCACTCTAGCCCGGGCAAAAGAGTGAGACTCTGTCTCAAAAAAAAACCAAAAACCCAAAAACCAACAACAACAACAAAAACACATTACAGGGATTAACTCATTTTATCCTTCAACAGTCCTATGAAGTAGAAACTTTTATAAACCCCATTTTATAGACAAAGCACGAAGAGGTTAATAAACTTGCCCACTGGTCACACAGCTAGGAAGTGGGCAGAATACGGATTTAAACAAGGCAGAGTCTCCTGGCCGCACACGCCTGATGCGGTAACCTATACCGGCGGCCCAGCGGCTTCCACGCCTGCACACACCCACTTTCCAGCAAGAAGGCGGCTCCCAAATCCCTTCCGTATGGAATGTCTGAAACGGTGGGCCACCAGGCTGAAGCCTCCCTGAGGTCAGGAGCCTTGATTACACTCCGCGCTTTGCGCAAAGCAGGCTCTCCGTTTCTGTTATATGCATGGATAGTGCAATGCTGGGAAGTTCTTCCTGAGGTCTAACCTCCCGCTGTTTGCCCACAGAAGAGGGCAGGAGCCGAGCCGGAGTGCCTGAGACCTAAGGCCAGCAGGTGTCGCTGCAGCGTGCTCGCGCAGGAGGGCGGAGCGGGCCGCAGACCGGGAGCAGCATGTGGACGCTCTGGCGCCGTGCGGCCGCCTGTCTCCTGCCCCGGTCGGCGCTCCCGAGCCCGGCCCAGGCCTTCACCCCGGCCCCAGGGCCCGCGGAGTTCGCCCGGATCTGCGGCCGCCGGGGCCTGCGCACCGGAACCGCCGCGGCCAGCGCGCCCCGCCACACAGTGAGTACCCGCGCCCGGTCGCACGCAGCACGCCGGCTGGGGGAGGTGCCGCGCACGCCGGGGACGCTGCGGGCGGGACTGGCGGGACGCGCGGGGGGCGGGGGACGGGCTGCGGACGCGCTGTGCCGCGGGGCCTGGCGGCGGCGGCGGCGGCGGCGGCCTGGGCACACAACCTGGGGGCCCCCTTCCTCTCGTTCTCCTGGTTTCGTCTGCACTGGCTGCTGCTTCATGATGAAACGGGACATTTTGTCTTGCAGTACGACTGCGGGGGGGACGGCAGGACAAGGGGACAGAGTCACTTCCGAGGGATCTGTGGCTGTTTCCATGCCTGCCACTTTGCAAGAACTTAAGTTTAAGTAATATTAATATATGGTGTGTACTATTGTATACTACAGCTATGTGTGTTGTGCGTTCATATAGTATGTGTATATGCAACACATGCATGTTATGTGTGTGTGAACACACAATATTTCCAAGCCTGCGTTTTTATGAAGGAACTATCACGCAGTGAGGTGAGACTGTCCGGGCTGCGGAGTAGCTAGAGCAGCAAGGGCTACGGCTTTTAGAAAATGATCCGGCCTTTGTTGCAAATTCCGCCTGGCTGACCTCGAGTGATCCCCCAACCTGTCTGAGGCGGGGCTTTTCTGTGAAGAGGAGATTAAAGGGTAACACCCATTTTTCGGACCTGGTTGTGAGCATTAAATTGGATTAGCATATATAAAGTCTTCAGCACTTCAGATTAGGTCCCCTTTCTTCCCTTGGGGATGCAGAGAAATATCTGACCCAGTTACTCCAGGACTTGAAAGGAGGAAGCCCAAACAGTGGCTGTGAGGTAGGGCTGGACTTCCCAAGGCGGGGGACGTGGTATTTCATTAGCATCTTAAAGATGTCAAGAGAGATTGGTGCAGGCATTTTGGGAGAGACCGGCAGGGGCAAAGGCTGGGGGGGTGCGGGGGACGGGGTTGGGCGGGGCGGAAGGGGGTCAGTGCTGAGAGGCTGGTACACCGACTTGTGTTGGGGAGCTGAAGGAGACATGCAAATTGTGTGTTGGGCTCTGGAGTTTGTACTTTAGGCTTAAACTTCCCACTGACGCATGTTCTTTGTCCCACACCATGTTTAAAGAAACTTTGGGATTGGTTGCCAGTGCTCCAAAGTTGAGGCCTAGAAAATGGATTTCTTGGCTTCTGTGGACAAATACGCAGGTGCAGCCATGGTGACCCTGAGCTCCCCTGTGGGAAAGGACACGTTCATTACTGGGCTTCTTCTGTGCCCCTCATCCAGAGCTGCCTGGCGTTGGGCTCCCACCCCTGCCTGTGGAGGCATCATGAATTGCCAACAGAGTTTTTAATTTAGGATAGTGACAAGAAGTCCTTTTTTGGTTGGTACCAGGTGGCTGTTAAGGGTTGTTGACTCAGAAGGACACCCAACTTGGTGCTGGGCCCAGGAGGTGGACACCAGCTCACACTGGGTTTGCCCACTGTTAGGAGGTTGGGCCTCTTTTTTGCATATTAAATTAGTCACATTTGTTTAACCTGCCTACTGTACAGTTCCCTTGCACATCTTAGGTACTTGTGGAGTTGGGTGGATGGCAGTGGCCACTGGGACCACCATTCTGTTTAATTATTTTAAAGCCTTGACTGTCCTTGAGTTGATCCCAAAGGTCCCCTTGGTCCCCAAAATTCATCAGGATCTGAGTTCGCTTAGAGGCCTCTTCCCCATCCTTATTTTCTCTACCCCCCAATCTACTTGTAGAGCAGTGTTCCCACAGAAATAGAATGGGAGCTGCATACATAATTCTAAATTTTCTAGTAGCTACACTGAAGAAGTAAAAAGAAACAAGTGAAATAAATTTCAACAATATATTTACTTAACCTAGCACATCCAAAATATCATTCTAACATGTAATCAATATTTTTAAAACATTAATGAGATATCTTACATTCTTTTTCATACTTACACACTTCCAGCACGTCTCAATTCAGATGTTAAGTTTCCATCGAAATGCTAGATCTATATTTAGATTTTATTGAAAATGAAGATTCACAATAGTTGAGTTGTTCCAACATACGTAAAAGTCTCCCAAGAACTTTATTATCATTTTTGATTAATTAAAATTAAATAAAGTTTAAAATCCAGTTCTTACATCCCACTAGCCGCACTTCTAGTGCCCAGTAGCCACAGGTGGCTGCCACACTAGACAGCTCTCCAGTGCGGCACAGTTAGCGTCTGATCAGTCACAGCCCTGGCTGCTCATCAGAACCCAGAAGCCCCAGAGCACAGCTCTGCAGCCTTACTCTCCCAGAGGCTGGGGAGGACTCCGGTTCCCGGAGGCAACCTCTGGTCTAGATGGAAGGATGGGACAGGGGCTGCATCTTTAATGTTTCACTTTTAATGCCAGAGACAGCTTCAAGGAGATAACTGGATGTCACTGTGTCTTAGTCCATTTTCTGGTACTTAGAACACCTGAAACTGGATAATTTATAAAAAGAAAAGGAATTAATTTTTTACAGTTTTGGAGGCTGGGAAGGCCAAGGTCGAGGGGGCCATATCTGGTGAGGGCCTTCTTGCTGGTGGGGACTCTGCAGAGTCCTGAGGCAGCGCAGGGCATCCCATGGCAAGGGTGCTGGGCGTGCCAGCTCTAGGCTCTCTTCCTCTTCTTATAAAGCCACCAGTCCCACTCCCATGATGACCCATTAATCCATTAACTTTAGAATGGATTAATCCATTCATGAAGGCAGAGCCTCTTAAAGGTCCTACCTTTCAACTTTGCCGTATTGGGGATTAAGTTTCAACAGGAATTTTGGAGGGGATAAATATTCAAACCATAGCATGCTGCCTCTTAAATAACTTCATAATGTTAAAGAAAAAAACCCAAACTCTGTACATTAATCTAAAGGGATTTATTCTGAGCCGAGTGTGTGTGATTGAGGCCCGGAGCAAATCTTTTCAAGAGATTCTGAGAAAAAGTGCCCTCGGTAGCTGGGTTAGTTTAGTTTTATGCATTCATGGAGACAGGAATCACAAGATCATAAGTCAGTATGTGGAGGGTGTACATTGGTTTGGCCCAAAAAGGCAGGACATATGGGGGAGGGATGGTTCCAGGTTATAGGTGGGTTTAAAGATTCTTTGGTTTGTAATTGGTTAAAGAAATGAAGCTAAAAGCTTGGAATGTTTTACATTAAGGATGTGTGGTAAAAACTCAAGTGATCTGTTAAGTAAATGGATGGCCTGCAGGTGCCTGTTAAGTAAATTGATGGCCATGCAGGCTTTGTCTTGCATGACCTTAGGCCTGATGATCATTTAGTATCTTATTGTTACAAAAAGTAACTCCAAAAGGGAGGGGCATGTCTGACCTCCCTTCTCCTCCTGGCTGGCAACTCAGCTTTAAGGGTTTTCTGGGGTCCCCTTGGCCAAAAGGGGGGTCCATTCCATTGGCTGAGGGGCTTAAGATTTTATTGTAGTTCACAACAAGCTCCTGCTGCAGCCTCTTCTGCACACCTCGGATGGCTCTTAGACATCCATCCATTTTCCTAGAAGGACAAGACCATCACCTATGACCCCATGACCTTTTTTTTGGCTTTTTCCCTGACAAACAGGTTATGCCCTAATTCACTTTAAATTTGTTTTTATTTGTCTTCCACAATCTACATGAGTTTATACACATGAAAGGGTATATAAAATATGTGTATTGCTTAAAAGATTATTAATAAATGCTACGGTCTGAATGTTTATGTCCTCTGTTGGTTATAAGTTTCTGTTGGTTATAAGCCACCCAGCTCTGGTATTGTGTTATAGCTTCCTGAAGAGACTGTGACAATAGACAGGCATCTGTATTCCCAGCACCAGGTTAAGAGAGAGAATTCACTTGTCCCCACTCACCCCTTCATACCTGCCCTCCCGCCTGGGTTCTGTTAATCATCTCTCCTGTTCTTAGAGTTTTACCTCCGGTGTATGTCTCCCTAAACCATGAGTTGTTTACCTGACAGGCATTCTACGGTATTCATTCTGCTGTGACTTGCCCCTTTTGTTCAGCATTCTTTTTGAGCAGCATCAACATTGGTGCATGCGGTTGTCATTTATTCATTTTCACTGCTGGATACTGTCCTGTTGGGTGAATATATCACACTTTATCCAGTCTTCTCTTGGAGACGTTTGGTTGATTGCAGTGTTCTGTTGTTACAATGACTGATACTGCTGTGAGCATTCAAAAGATCCTCTCTGGTGAATTCCTTAGAATGGAATTGCTGGGCAAAGGGCCAGCCAATAATTAACTCATTTTGGACCAAAAGTGGTTATACCAGTTCATCGTCCCCCAGCAGGGGACAAATTCTGATTCACTCTTCAAGTGCTGTGGTTTGACAGGACCCAGGGTGACCAGTGGAGATACCTCTGGGGTGAAGGCTGGCCACTCAGGCCAGGCCTCTCCACGGGGTGGGCCATAATTGGGTCATGTGGTTCCTGACCCTGAGAATTTAGGCCCAGAAGCTGTCTAGTGTTTCCTCGATGCATCCCATGAGCCAGCCCTGTGCTGAGCACAGATCTAGAGCAAGGCAAGCCCACCACAGTACATAGTCCAGGGGCTCCTGGGTGACCTGGAATCCGAAGCGGGTATACGCTGGGTGGCTTCATGGGGCTCACTCGTCATGTGACCCTCAGCACCGGGCATTCCGTCTGCCCCCCTCAAGCAGAGCAAGCAGGTTCTCCCTTGGGCGGTGGCTGAAGTTGGCCTCTGACCTCCTGGGACATACTTTTGTTGACATATTTCAAAACAGAAATTTATTGAACACCCTTAGGCTCTGTGTTTGGGGTATTCCTGTTCTCTTGTTTAATCCTCATAACCAGTCTGCAAGGAGGGTACCACGATCCTGCCTTCAGAGGAGGAAACTGAGTTTCCAAAAGTTTTAGCAGTTGCCAAGGAATGTTAAATTGTCAAAAAAAGAAAAAAAACAAAAAACAAAAAAACAGGTAAGATATAAGGCAAGGAGTATTTGGCAGTGGTTCTTTTTTATGATTAAAAACAGCTGAATACAGACTTATATTTCTGGCTATGAATGAGTAACTTGCATTTGACCAAACCTCCCACCAAAAACAACCATCAAAGCTCTGCAAAATTAAAAAACAAAAAAACAGCTGCGTGAAGGTATCATTGAGACTAAGACAGCTAGGATTGGAGGGGCCAGGATCCTGGAGAGAAGGGGAAGCCCCTGAGGTGAGCTTGACACTCTCAAACACTTTTCCCTTGACGTTTTGAACCCTGTTCTGATTCCCAGGCATGTGGTTCTTTCCTTTGTGGCACAGACTCTAGGTTCAACTCCAGCTCCGCCACTTTGTGTGTATCTGTAACTTGGGGCACATTACCCTTTGGTGCCTCAGTTTCCTCATCTGTAAAATACAGCTATAGTTGATCCTCATTATTCACAGATTCTATACTTGCGAATTTGCCTACTCGCTAAAATGCATTACCCCACAATCAGTACTCCTGGCGCTTTTGCAGGTGTTTTACAGACATACGCAGAGCAGCTGTCAATAAGAATGTGAGCCCACCGCGTGCATGTTCAAAGCAAACGTCAAGGAAGGCGTCGCTCTGCCTTCTCGTTTCTGCTCTCATGGTGCACACAAGTGTCCTTTTCACGGTCTGTGTAGTGCCACATTTTTCGGCTTTTTGATGGTGATTTTGCTGTTTGAAATGGTCCCCAAGCATAGTGTTGAAGCAAACAGGAGGAGGCTGTGATGTGCCTTGCAGAAAATATACCTGTGTTAGGTGAGCTTCACGCAGCCATGAGTTATAGTGCTGAGAGCAATATTAATGGATCAACAACACATATTAAATAAGGTGTCTTTAAGCAGAAATACACATAAAACAAAGCTATGTATTGATCGATTGGTGAAAATGTGACCAGAGGCTTACAGGAACCTAAGCCCATGTTTCGCTAGGAATGATTCGCCCGAGTGTTCGTATGGAACATAACTGCGGAGAATAAGGACTGTAACAGTAGTACTTCCCTCCGTAACAGCACAGGATTGGAAGGAGGACGAAATGAGTCCACTTAGACAAAGGCTGAGAGAGTGCCAAGCAGAGAGCACTCCGGAGTGTGCGCCAGCTGTGACAGTGGTGTGACAGCTGCCTTCTCACTTCAGAGCCGCGCATGTTTAAGCACACTGTCGGTGCTCTGCCCTGTCCCCTCCTTCCCCGTCACTTCCCAGCCCTGTGCCCTCTGCATCTCCTTTCTGAGCTTGCCCCAGGGCACTGCCAGCCCAAGAGCGATAACTAGCAGTCTCTCGCCTCCTCTCCATGGCAACCAGAGTGACCCTTGGAGGAAAAAATCTTATCACCAACCTCTTAAACCCCCTGGTGCCTTCCCGGGATGAAGTCCAGCTGAGTCCCTGTGCAAGGCCCCGAGGCCACCCCTACCTGCCTCCTTTGTCTCCATCACCTCCCCCGCCTGCCATCCCCACTCTGCCTGTGCCACTTCTCTCTCCCGCTCAACCGGCTCTAGTCCGGTTATCATCTGTCTCTCCAGCTGGGTCAGCAGGGTCGCACAGCAGAGCTGGCGCTAATCAACTCGAACCTCACCTCCGGGATGCCCAGCAGTTAGAGACTGAAAAACATCAACAGGTCACAGTCTGTCCTGCAGATCATGCTCATAAGATCTGCCAGACAGCAGTCTGCAGTCAGAGCCAATCTTCTGGACTTTGGCAGACTCTGCCTCTTGCTGTTTCTTGTTGCTTCTCTTGGTGACATCTAGGAGCGTTGTGGTTGCTTGCCTGCCTCCCGCTAACCACCACGTAACCTGAGTAGCCTGCAGCAGCGCTGCCCTGTAGAACTTCCTGCCGTGATGGAAATGCTCTGTGTCTGTCCCACTAGCCAGTGGCCACAGGACACTTGAAATGTGGCTGGTGCAGCTGAGGGACTGACTTTATTTTATTTTAGCTCAATATATTTAAGTTTAAATAGCTACATGTGGCTCATGGCTACCCTACCGGACTAGTACAAGCTTAGAGATTGGGACAACTCACTGTAATGCGTTAAAAAGAAGGTGAAAAAAAATTCCTAAGAAAATTTCTGAAAAACTTAACATGGTTATCTTCAATATAGAAGTGGCAATGTATAAACCATGCATTAATGGACTATAATATACTGTAAAAATGGTAATGTTCTTCTTAACTTTGGCTTTTAGAGTTTGAACCTCCACTGTCTCAACCAGATTCTGAATGTCAAAAAGCAGAGTGTCTATTTGATGAATTTGAGGAAATCAGGAACTTTGGGTGACCCAGGGTAAGAAAAAACACCTTCCACATCAGGGACCTCTTCCTCCCTTTTTCCTCCCTCCCTTACTCTTCCATATGGAACCTGTTTTCTCCCTGAGCAACGACACTCAGTCATGTTTCCACATCACTAAGTATCCACTACATTATTTTTAATAAAATAGTCTTAAATTATATGGATGCACCATAATTTATTTAACACAGCCCCTCGTATTGGACATTGAGGTTGTCTCCAGAGTTCTGTTACTCTTTTCTTCAATATCCTAGTAGTTAGGGTAAGCCATGCTGTTGTAACAAATACACTCAAAAATATAATGGCTCAAACCAGTAATGTCTGTGTCTCCCCTCTCCTGCAGCCCAAGTGTTCAAAGCCTCAGCTTCTCCCTTTGACTTTTCTGTCTTTGTACAGCCTTTCATCCCAACATGCTCCATGTCATTCCATCTACTTGCATGGGGGCCAGTTCTCCCTGGCTCATTGATTCCTGTTGCATCTGATAATAGCAACAAAAAGCCTCCCATGCACGGGACCATTCTGTCCTCAGAGCTATGTGCTCAGGAGGCATATGTTGGCCTTCCAGGTTTATCTCAGGCACCAGCCTCATGAGCTTCCCAAGCTGCTGTCTCTGTTCACGGACCCCTGCCACAAAGTCTCTAAGGGGCTCAGCATGCTGCATGTTTAGGTTTCTGCTTTGATGACACACATTTCCAGCCCCTGCTCTGGCACTCCCCAGCCCTGACTCTCTGCTGCTGTCCCCTCACCCCTCCAGGCAGTCTTGTGAGGCTGGGTAGGGCACTTGCAGGATGCCCCAACCCCAGCTTCCTTCCTCAGGGTCTAATTCTGCTCTCTGGGAAGCATATCTTTGTCTTGCCTTGTCTGACTTCTGCTGTGGCCCAACTCTCCACTGTCAGATAGCACCTGCCAGCCTTTTTTTTTTTTGACAGGGTCTCGTCCTGTCTCCCAGGCTAGAGTGCAGTGGTGTGATCATACCTCACTGCAACCTCAAATTCCTGGGCTCAAGCGATCCGCCTGGCTCAGCCTCCCAAGTAGGCGGGACTACAGGTTTGTGCCACCATGCCTGGGTGATTTTTTTGTTGTTTTTTGTAGAGACAGGGTCTCACTGTATTGCTCATGCTAGTCTCGAACTCCTGACCTCAAGTGATCCTCCCACCTCAGCCTCCCAAAGAGCTGGGATTACAGGTGTGAGCCACCAGGCCCAGCCTGCCAAGCTCTTGACACGAGTCAGGTGTGTCTTTTTGTTCCCCAAATTCTTCAAGGATGCGTTATCAACCAAACTCTCCGCCCCATTCTCTCCAGCGCACTCTCAAAATACATGCTACAGGGCCAACCACTCTCTTTAAAGAACAGCCCCTCACCAATCTGTTCGCCGTGTAGCCTTCCCCACATTGTCCCCCTGAAGTGGGTGATGGGCTGGGTGGGGAGGGGGTCATATGGCAAATCTGTATGTCTTGCATTAATTGTCTGGCAGCCACTGGTGTCTGTCTTTAGGCCCTTTGGAAACTCATAGATAACGGAGTTCCCTGGTATACATCTTAAAACCTACAGATATATTCTCAAAGGGTCACAAAAACACTTATAAGGATGTTTATATTTTTATTATATTTTTATTATAACAATAAATATTTTTATTATATTATAATTCACAAGCCATAAAATTCATCCCTTTAAAATGTCCGATCCAGGGGGGTTTAGTATATTCACAAGGTTGTGCAACTATCACCACTATCTAATTTCAGAACATTTTCATTACTCCAAAAATACACCTTGTACCCATTAGCAGTCACTCCCCTTTCCTCCCTCCTCCAAAGCCCTGGCCACCACTTATCTACTTTCTGTCTCTGTAGATTTATAGCAATTTTTTAAAATTGAAAAATAGTATCTCTAAGAAAATGTATCCAAGTCATAAGTATATAGCTTGATCAATTTTTAAAAACTGAAAATACCCCTGTGATCAGCATCTAGCTCAAGAGATATAATGGAATGTACCAGCCCGCTACAAGCAAGCCACCTGCTCACTGCTGGTCGTTAAGCCTCCCTCTCTTCCTTCTTCTGGTCATTCATCCCCTCAGAGTAACTACCATTCTGATTGCCAATAGCATGGATTAGTTTTGCCTATTTTTTTAACTTTATGTAAATGATATCATTAAGTATAAATGTGTTTATGAATAGCTTCTTTCCGTCACAATTGTTTATGAGATTTATCCATATTGTTCTTACAGTTATAGACAATTCTATTTTGCTGTGTAGTATTCCATTGTATGAATATACTGCAGTTTATTTATCTATTGTATTACTTTTAGGTACTTGGGCAGTTTCTAGTGTGGGGCTACAGGATAGTTCTACCATGAACATTGTCATGTAGTGCATGTCTTTTGGTGAACCTGGGTATACGTTTCTGCTGGGTATACCCCCTGAGAGTGGAATTGATGGATGGGTCATAGCATGGAAGTGTGTTCAACTTTAGTAGGTACTGCCCGAAAGTTTTGCAGAGTGATTGTCCAATTTAGTCACCTGTCTGAAAGCTCTGGTTGCTTCTCTTCTTAGCTAATTCTTGATATTATCTCTTTTATTTTAACTATTCTGGTGGCATCTCATTGTGATTTTTTAATTTGCATTTTCCTGAAGATTCACAAAGTTGAGTGGGGCATGGTGGCACATGCCTGTATGTAGTCCCAGCTACTCAGGAGGCCGAGGCAGAAGGGTCACTTGAGCCTGGGAGTTCAAGTCCAGCATAGTAAGAGTCCAACATAGTAAGACCCTGTCTCAAAAACTAAATAAATAAAAATAAAAAGTTGAGCCCCTTTTCATATATTCATTGGCCATTTGGATATCTTTTTTTATGAAATCTGTTTAAGTATTTTGCCCATTTCTTTATTGGGTTTTCTTTTTCTTATTGATTTGTAGGAGTTCTTTATATATTTTAGAAGAGTGTTTTTTCAGATATATGTAATGCAAATATTTTCTCCCACTTTGTGTCTTGCCTGACATAATTTTAATAACAAAAGCAATGGAAACAACCTCACTGTCCAGCTGAAGGGGACTGGTTAAATAAATAAAATGTTTTAAAATCCATATGTACTAATATAGAACAATTTCTAAGACATATTAAATAAAAATGCAAAATGCTTCATTTGTATATTTAAAAGAATATACAGAAAGGATACAGAAAAGACTGTTAACCATTGTTGCCTCTGGGGATGGGGGCTGCCTATTTGGAAGAAAGGCTTACTTCTGTGCTATTTAAATTTTTACTTTGTACATGTTAGATATTTTCCATGAATTTTAAAAGTTTAAATGAAAAATAAATGTGTGAATTTGATATTAATAAAACGGAACATAATCTTATGTTTTTGGTTGTTTTTTTCCCCGCTGCAGTTCTCTAGATGAGACCACCTATGAGAGACTAGCAGAGGAAACACTGGACTCGTTAGCAGAGTTTTTTGAAGACCTTGCAGACAAGCCTTACACATTTGAGGACTATGATGTCTCCTTTGGGGTACTTCTTGGCTTATTTTAATTTCCGTTTCCTCCCTAAGAATTTTAGCACACTAAAATGAAGACTTCTCCTCTAGCAGAATGAAACATCAAATTGCATGGGGTTGTGGCTGGCACCAAAAGACCCAACCCAGCTCCACCAGGCTTGTGACCCTGGGCAAGTCACTCAGCCCTTCTGAGCCTCATTTTTGGGTTAAAAATACAGATTCTCATGCTTTACTCAATACCCATGAAGGTAAATCGGGGAGAGACCTGGGCATGTGTTTGGCAAACAAGCAAGCATGGGGAACACTAAGCTAGACTGATAGTTCTTCAGCAGGGTAAGATAACTTTCCAAGAGTTATTCAGATTCAGAGACTCGGGCCTCACTTCCGAGAGATTCTGATGTAGCAGGTAGATCAGGGTGCATTCCTGGGAAGCATATTTTTGAAAAGTTCACCTGGGATTCTAATGTGCATCCCTGGATCCCACTGCTAGAGATTATGGTTGAATTGGCCTGAGCTGTGACCTGGGCAGGGCACTGGGATTTTTAAAGCTCCCCAGGTGATTCTAATGTGCAGCTGGTGTGAGAATTTCTGAGTTTGATGAAACATTAGCCCCAAATCCTAGAAGCCTAGGAAGTGCTGGACTTTACTGACGGGCCACCAGGTGGCAGACTTGAGCAAGGGCCCCGCCTTTGGATTTGGAATTATTGCTTAGGCCTTGGAGTAGTCCTTTTTTGCCAGTGGGGAAGAAATCCCCCGCAGATGTTAATCCTCTTCACAGCAATTAATTAATGCCAGGAAATGTCATGAAGTGTGCCTTTTGGATTAAATCATGGAATGATTGAAGACAACCAGCTGTCACCCTAAAATGATAGAAATGGTACTGCATATTGCTGTGGGAGCGCTGGATAGGGAAGGAACCCCATATGATAGGTAGGGTGGGAAGCAAAGTCAAGGAGAAAGTGTCAAGCCTGGTTGTAGGACAGTGAAGGACTTCACAGGAATCGTTGGTTTAAAAAAAAAAAAAAAAACTCTGGGAGGCCAAGGCGGGTGGATCGTTTGAGCTCAGGAGTTCGAGACCAGCCTGAGCAAGAGTGAGACCCCCGTCTCTACTAAAAATAGAAAGAAATTATCTGGACAACTAAAAATATATCGAAAAAATTAGCCGGGCATGGTGGCGCATGCCTGTCGTCCCAGCTACTCAGGAAGCTGAGGCAGGAGGATCACTTGAGCCCAGGAGTTTGAGGTTGCTGTGAGCTAGGCTGACGCCACGGCACTCTAGCCTGGGCAACACAGTGAAACTCTGTCTCAAAAAAAATATAGGAGCAATGGAGTTGGGAAGGATCGAATGGCTTCCAGGTAGATTCAGTGGTTGCTGTCAGCAGTGGAAAATGCAGCAGTGTCGGGGCAGGCCTTTAAAAGTGCTTGTTCAGACAGCCCTGGAGGGCCAAGCTGCTTGGGAACCCTTACAAACTGGCCTGCCAACTTGACCATCCATGCGCTGATGAGAGGTAGGGAAGTTACAGACCTCCGGTCCCCCAGCCTCCCTGCCAGGGGCTGTAACTGAAGGGAAACCAAGTCTCAGGCTAAACTCTGCCCACACATGCAAACATTCATTAACAAGCCACAAAAACAGTCCTGCAACCTGCTCTTATAGGATTAGTGAAGCCCCAACTTGACCAAGTACTTTGCATGAATGTTTCATTAGAAGCAAATGTGCCAATATTCTAACAGCTGTATTCAGTTTACTTCATTGAATCAGTTTAAATCAGGCAACAAAAACTTCTGCTCAGTGGTAGGCCATAGAACCTTCATGAATCCTACCCCAAGAGTGTCTCCCTGAAGAGTATTAGGCTGACGGGCTTTCCAGATTCTGCAACTCACTCCTGCAAGGGAAGAGGTACCTATATTTTTCTAGCCAATCCACATACCTTGAGTATCACTCTACTCCCCAGAGCAAAACTGTTTCTAACAAATTATTTACTGATTAGCGAATTCTCAAGTGTAGATTTAGAAAGCTAAAGGTATATAGTGGCTGCCTCTGTAGTTTGGACTTGTATTAAGTACAGTGAAATGCTATCTGCCCTGGGGTGTGAATTCCTGATTAGAGTCTTCAGGTGCTAACTACTTAATGTATTTCACATTCGATAAGTGAGCTGAAAGTACATTATAGACACATAGAACACCTATAATACCATTACCTGGGCTTTGTTGGAGGGCAGTCTTTTCCTGCCCTCAGGGCGCAGTTGGAAGTTACCTCCTTTGTGAAGCTCTGGGAGATGCTCTAAGCAGACACTTCCTCCCTCCCTTCCTCCCTCCCTTGTTGAGCACTCTGAGGATGACTCTGGGGTGCTAATCACCCAGTTATAATTGTCTATTTATATATCTGGCCCATGGCTAGACTGAGCTGCTTGGCAGAAGGAACACTGTCCATTCTTTGATCCCAGTGCCTGAAACGGTGCCAAGTGCATAGTAGGGGCTTAATAAATGTTGATTTACTATGTAAATGAAATGGGACCCGCATACTTTTCCAAAACATGCTTTCATAGCTTTTATGGATCATTTTCCAACTTGCTGCTGGCCAAATAGACGAATGAAAGCAATAATCCAGATACACTCAAGAAAGCATTTGTTCTGTTTTCTCCCTGTGGAGTGGGAGACTCGAGTGGCTTCTTAGCTGGTGTGTCATCTGATCGAGTGGTCCGGGTGATGGGTGGATGTCAGTGTCTGGGTCCAGACCTCACCCCTTATTGGCACTGGTTGTTAGAGGGGACATCCCACAAGAGCTGAGAGCCCTGCCTGTCACCAGGCAACTACCGAGTCTGCTGCACTTGATCTGGCAAAATCTGACTGGAGACTGTTAGACTCACCACGCTAGTTGAAGTGATCTTTGAGCTGCCTTCCTTTTCTTCTAGGAAGAGCCCTGGCCTCTTAGACAGTTTAATAAGGATTTGCTGGTTGACATGATCTTCATTCACTACGTTGTCACCATAACACTGCATGAAGGCAGAAGTTTCTTAACCTTTTTTGGGTCAGGACCCCCTGTAAGAATCTGATGACTGGTCTGGACTCTCTCCGGAGAAAAACTCCCGTACTCGGCTAGGAGTACAATTTCAGCTGCAACGCGGAAGCTGTTTGCTGCCTCCTAAAGGCCACCTCTGAGTCCTGAGGTGAGGACCTCTGCTCACAGGTCGCATCTTATTGGACATGGAGACAGGATCTGGCGTGGCATGCCGGGTTTGGATTTTCCTGCCAGGGGTCCTTAAGTGAATTAACTAACTTCTGTGAGCTGCAGCTTCCTCAGCCCTGCAGTGAGTGACATTAACCTCCACTTCCCCAGGTTTACATTAGGATTAATTAAAGCAACATAGGAAAAAGCGCTTCGTGCTCCTTATTCTTATTCTTTAAGGGGAAGTCAGAATCTGCTTTAGGAATGTGGGAAGTCACGTGTATGTGAAGTTCCCGACTCAACATGCCATCCCATACGCGTCTATTTCTACCATGGAGCTGGTGACAGCAGTAATTGCTATACTTGCTCCCACCTGTGTAGGGTTGGCCTTGACTAGCAGGTGTCAATAAGCCTCACCAGCTGTGGCCTCGGTCTGCTCTGAGTGCTTAGTGCCTGTGTCTCAGCAACTGCTAAATATTTTGACTATCCCCCACCCCCACTCAAGTGCACCCACACTCCCAAAATAGATTCAGATTGCCTAAGGCATAGTCAGAATAATGAATAGAAAGCCCTCTTCATCAGTCTACTTGCAGTCAGTTCTGGAAGCATTAAGACCTTCTGCTGCACCAACACGGCAGCTAGTTTCTTCCCTCTTGCCACTTTCCTTTGGAAACAAAGCAAAGCTCCATGGGAAAAAAATCTAATTACGGTGAACAGGCTGTATGGAGGGGCTGGACCTGCAGATGCTAGCATGGAGAGGCAAATCTGATGGCAAGGTGCCTACAGCAGTGGGCAGCAGGGACAAGCAGACACACTAGCAGCTCTGAATGCAGGGAGGAAGTGCGGCGGTGGCCGTGTGGACACACGCAGGGCATCAGGGTGATCTTCCCCAGGCTCCTCAGGTGGGACCTGGAGCAGAGGAGTTGCCTGTCCTGGGGAGAGGGTGCACTGCGGAGAAGGTGCCACGTGGCATGAACGGTTTGACAGCTGCGGAGCTAGATGGCCTCTCACATTTGTTTTATTAATATGCTCTTTGTGGAAAAGTGGCCTGTTTCCTGGAGTCACTCAAAAGATTTCCAGTCGGAAATCAATTTTGGCTTCAGTGGTCGTATGCACCATCCTGCTGGTAGATCGGAGCACGGGAAGAGGCCTTGAGGCCGCATCAGTCAGCCCTTCCATCCTCGCACCGAGCCCCTCAGTGAGGCAGGACGGGTAGGACAGAGGTGGTCGTGAGGAGACAGGTGCAGTTGATGTGACCGGCCCATGGCCGATCAGTGATGAGACTGGACCTGGAATCTGCATCCTCCTAATCTGTCCTCTGCCCTTTCCACTGGACTGTGGCCTCCCCAGTCTAGGGCACAATGCACAATGGAGGCAGTTAAGGGCCACACAGAGGTCAAATGAGAGCAATTCTGTGTTGATTCCACGAGCCCCCTTATCTCATTGAAAAATAATTTATAAAACTATGTATGGGATGAGGAGAAGAGTGGGGAGTGACTACTGATGGGTGCAGGGTTTCTTTTGGGGGTGATGGAAATAGTCTAGAATTAGACAGTGGTGATATTTGCATACTTTGTGAAATACTAAAAACTACTGAATCATACAGTTTTAACAAGTTTTTAAATAAATGAAATGTAGTCCTACCAAAACAGTAAAGATGCATTTCAGGAAATTTTTTTTTTAAACAAACTTATGTACAGAATAATCCTGAGTCCTTTTAAAAAATGTATTTAAAAACTGGCAGCCACGTCACAAAAGGACAAATACTGTACGATTCCACTCATATGAAGTATTCAAAAGTAGTCAAAATCATATTTAGAAACAACACTGTAAATATATAATTCTTATTTGTCGGTTAAAAAAAAAGGAGTCAAAATCATAGAAACAAAGTAGACAGGTATTTATCAAGGGCTGGGGGAGGGGAAATTAGTGTCTGATGAGTACAGAGTTCCAGTGTTACAAGGTGAAAAAGTTCAAGAGATCTGGTTGTACAACAATGTGAATATACTTAACATTACTGAACTGCACACTTAAAAATGGTTAATATGGCCTGTAATCCTAGCACTCTGGGAGGCCGAGGCGGGCGGATTGTTTGAGCTCAGGAGTTCGAGACCAGCCTGAGCAAGAGCGAGACCCCGTCTCTACTAAAAATAGAAAGAAATTAATCGGACAACTAAAAATATATAGAAAAAATTAGCTGGGCATGGTGGCGCATGCCTGTAGTCCCAGCTACTCGGGAGGCTGAGACAGGAGGATCGCTTGAGCCCAGGAGTTTGAGGTTGCTGTGAGCTAGGCTGATGCCACGGCACTCACTCTAGCCCAGGCAACACAGTGAGACTCTGTCTCAAAAAAAAAAAAAATGGTTAATATGGTAAGTTTAATATTATGTGGTTTTTACCATAATAAAAAAATTTTTTTTAAGCTTGGCATCTGAGACCTGAGAGTGAATATCTTTTATCGCTGGTTAATGAGATTGAGAATACGCTTTGTATTATGGAAAGAACAGTGTCTTTGGACACAGACAGACCTGGATTTAAGATCAGCTCTGCCAATTACTAAGTGTTCTTTACTACTCTGAACCTCTTCTCCTTGTCTGTAAAATTGGGATAATGATTCCTACCTCCAAAGTTATGGTCAAGTTGGAAACAATTTACACAAAGTACCAAACACATAGCCTGGCACAAAGTAGGGACTCAGTTAATAGTAATTAATTTCTTTTTTTTTTTTTTTTTTTTTAAGAGACAGGGTCTTGCTCTGTCACCTAGGCTGGAGTGCAGTGGCGTCATCATAACTCACTGCAACCTCAAACTCCTGGGCTCAAGTGATCGTCCTGCCTCACTGAGTAGCTGGGACTATAGGCACATGCTACCATGCTTGGCTGAGTTTTTAATTTTCTGTAGAGATGGGGTCTCGCTATGTTGCCTAGGCTGGTCCCAAAGTAATTAATATTTTTACCAGTGTTTTCATTTTCCTTATGTTACCTGTATTCTCAATGTCTCAGTCATTTTTGTACATTTCTTTGTGAATCAGAAAAAAATGTTATTAAAAAATAACCCCATAGTGCCCCACCCCCCAGTCCCATTCCTACCAGTTATGTTGTTATTGTTTCTACCCTCCAGCATTAAATAGCTCTTTGTGTTTGCAAGTGTGTTGTAAGAATCATTCGGGGCCCCTTGATTGGATGGGGCCTCTAGAATGCACAGAAAAGCTGCCGTGTATCGCTGCAAGTCATGCACAGGATGGGGAGTGGCGAGGCTCCTTCTTGCTTGCCTGTTCCAACACGGGGCTCAGCCCTGTCGCCGTTTCTTTCATATCCTGTCCATTCTAAGGAGACCACAGGCCTTGGGAGTAAAGGACTCCTTTGTTGAAAGAGTGTTTTCAAATTTAAATGAGCATTTATTGGTCAAAGATGGACTAACCAGTCTTTTGAAGTATTCAAGGCTCTTTAGAGGAAAAAAAAAAGCATTGGAGAAGCGTCTGAGAAGCTTATTAGATGCGTGGGAAGGGTCTGGAAATAAAAAACCTAGTCTGGAGTTTCTGCCTTCTACCAACAAAGCTGAAGCTATTGCTCTTCTAAGACAAGCGAAACAGGTGGTTCGAGTACTTCTTTCTTTCCTTTTTTTCTGTAATAGACTAGCGTCTGATGTTTGGGCTCACACAATACTCTAACGGAGTTGGAGCCTGCATTTTTTAACGTCCTCTAGTATGTTCTGGTTGGTAGTTGAGGGCAACAAACCAGCAGTGCCAAATGCCAGCTCAGACCTCAGACAAGTCACTTAGCACTAGGAGCTTCATTACCGTATTCACCTTGCGGACCTCACGGAGAATAGGGAAAAGTGCTATGAGATATAAGCGTTATTATAATGAATCCTATTCTGATTCGGAAAGCAATACTCTTTCTACACAATCTCCTATCTGTAAATACTAAATTAAGGACATGCCTTTCTGGTGTAAATTGTGTACTTATATAAATGGAAAGCGTTAAGCTGTAACAAAACACGAAGCAATGATGACAAAGTCCTAACTTCGTCTTGCTTTATTTTCTTCCTGCTTTTTTCCACCTGGTCCCCTAGAGTGGTGTTTTAACAGTTAAACTGGGAGGAGATCTAGGAACCTACGTGATCAACAAGCAGACTCCAAACAAGCAAATCTGGTTATCTTCTCCATCCAGGTATGTGCCGAAGTCAAAATCTGTAATCATTAAACTCACCTGAAGTGTGGCATTGTGGACCATTTCAGAAGCATCACCCTCATAGGCTAGTCTCTGTGTAAGTGAACCTTGCGTGATGTTTTATAAGCTGTCTCATTCTCAGCAGGCAGGTTTACTCTGGTTATATAACTTCTCCCTGGGGATAATTTGGCTACTGTGATGGGGGGATGAGAGCAAGATCTGAAATGAAACGTTTATAACTTTTCAGAACCTGGCTTACACAGTTTTTCTCTGTTAAATCATTGCCCTGCATTTTAATATCGCAGCATCTGAACAAGTTGCACTTTGTCTTAAAAAGCAAGTAAAAGTTTGACCTCTATTTGATTTGAGCATCACAGCTAAAGGGTTAGTTGAATCCCTGTAGAGGTGGGAGAGTGTTTTAAGTTGCTACTCCAGGGCGTTTAACTCCTCCTGCCTTTGCCATTGCTGTGCTTTCAATGTAGAGAAATAAAAGACTGTGTTGGACACACAGTGTGACGTGTGCAGCTTCTAAAAGCCTGAGAACATGCAGGGAGAGATGCCCATCATCCCTCATCAGTCTGGCTGCCGTGGTTGTAAAATTGAAAGAGAAAGGCCCACAAAAAGCTCTCCAACCAGCCTTCCTGGGTCATTCATTAGCACTTCCACAGAAAACATGTTGACTGCGAATTGGGAAAGGCTCAAATATAATTAGCTTGGAATTCTTTGGAAGCCTACTGCTATTTGCATTTTAAAAAATTATAACCTTACCCCACCCCGTATCATTGACCTCATTTGTAGGCAGTTAACATTATACCATTTGTCATGCTGTGATATGTAATTCTTTGTTCAGAATAAAGTGTTCTGCCACCTTCACCCCAGTTTTGTGTGGTATAGTTCAACAAAAACCCCAGGGAGTGTAGTATAGTTCAACAAAAACAATAGTACAAATCGCTGTCCTTTCTAGTAAAGCTGTAATTCACATATTGTGTTGCTTTTTTAGACCCAGTTAGTTTACTGGAGGTTGGAGGGTTTCAACCTGTGTGGGCCATCAGCCTCTTTGGCCTGGAATACTCTTCCTAACCATGGCCGAATGTGAGGCCTGTCATTCTTATCCTTCTTCCAGAGGAACTGGTACAAGAAACTGGGTGGATCAGCTCAAATCCAGCAATCACTTTTGGGGATCAGTGGCTTTGTAAATCCCAGGCAGGGCACCAATATCAGCTGTGATGGTTCCCTAAAAGAATTTTCTCCCTCTCTGGAGACTGAAAAAGTCCATATCATACTTGGACACACCAACTAGCAGTAGGATCCTGCCCCAGCTGTGTTCAGAAGAGTATATAATACTACTGGGTGACAATAACTCCCTAGGAATTCCAAGTGTACTTTTTTTTAAATCTGCGATTCATATGGGAATTTAGGAAGGAAATCTGCCAAGTAAGCATTTACTGTTGCAGATACTATGTTCCTCAAAAAAGATTTTTTTTTTTCCTTCTCAGCTTTTTACATTGGTCCAAAATATCTTTCACAGGGCTGCGTTTCGATTTTTTGAGTTTTTTAAATTGACAACTTTGCAGGTCCTATGGAATAAGCAGTCTTTTCTAGCCACCTTGCCCACCCTGAGGAGGTTGTGGGATGGAATAAAGGTGAGGTCTGGGGGACACCTGGGCTTCAGTGCCTGGCTCAGAGCCCTTGGGGCAGCATGGAGGGGTCTGGAGGTTACTGACGCTCTGCCGGGCCACCTGGCAGCAGCCTCTGAGTACAGGGCCAAGGGAGCATTTTCTGGGTTTGGTCTGGGTTATTAGTCCTTTTTATATGGCCCGGATGGTTTGGTTTGCTTTTTTTATCTCCATTACTGGGACCTATTCAACCCCCAGCGTTTGGTTGATAATGTAAAAATCCTTGGTGATGTTTCCCTTCCAAGCTTCCCTCTCTGGCAAGCTCCTCCCAGCCTCCGCCTTTGGAAAAGCTCTCCTCGCGTGCACCAGGTTGACGGGGGCGCCCCTTCGCAGAGGCTCCCCGTGTGCTCTGCTCTTGCCTCCAGCAGAGCACCATCATGAGCCCCTGTCGTCTCAGGCTATGTCCACCCCTAGCCGCGAGGCCATGAGGAGATAGAATTTCATATATGTGTAGAGTACATCTGATATAACAAGACATGGCAAGAACCAGCTACAATTTGTCCACACAGACACAGCATTCTCAAAGTGACGTGCACGTGCCATTGGCATCGTTCGCTAGATGAGCTGGAGGTGGATGAACTGGCTCATAAGGCTCACAATTTCATGGATTTAACATGGAATTAAAAAAATATTCTTTACCCAATAATGGAAAAACAAACACCACGTGTACTCACCATTAAATTGGAACTAATCGGTGAACACTTACGTGCACAGATGGAAATAACATTCATTGGAAACCAAGCAGGTGGGGGGATGGGTAAATTCACACCTAACAGGTACAATGTACACCATCTGAGGTACGGGCCCACTTACAGCTTTTACTCAAACGGTACAAAAGCAGTTTATGTAACCAAAATGTTTGTACCCCCATAATATTCTAAAATAAAATTTTAAAAAAAGAAAAATACTTTTAAAATAATAGTTTAGGTAGTTGCTGAAGGGCTGGGAGAAGAGGAAATAAGGAATAACTGTTTAATGGGTACCGTCTGCCCTCTGTATCTGACAGTTCCACATCTGAGGACTCAACCAACAGCAGATCAAAAATATTTTGGAAAAAATCAACAAAAATAACAATATAGTAATTAAAAATATAAACAAACAGCATAAGAACTATTTATGGAGCATTTACATTATATTAGGTATTATAGGTAATCTAGACATAATTTAAAGTATACAGGAGGACGCGTATAGGTTATTTGAAATACTGTGTCATTTTATATTAGGGGTTTGAGCATCCACAGATTTTGGTATTCTTGGGGGTACGGGAACCCATCCCTGTGGATGCTGAGGGACAACTCTACTAGGTCTCCTTTAGGGGTGACGCAGATGTTTCGGGACTAGATAGAGGTAGTGATTGTACAACGTTGTGAATAACACTAAATGCCACAGAACTGTTCGTTTTTAAACGGTTAATTTCATGTTATGTGAATTTCACCTCACTGATTAATAAAAGTTTAGGTAAGGCACAAATCATGTCAGTGGCACAAAAATGACCAGTTTTAAAAAGACTGGTCTAACGTAGCCGGTGTCATATGTGAGGCAGGAAAAGCGAGACATCAGAACGTGATATGTGGATACCCGTCAGGTAAGGGTCACGTGTTTGCAGGTCTTGCGAATCATTCCAGAGGATAAATTGTGCGACTATTCTTAAATGGAGAGAGCCTAAGACAAGAAATCAAATATAGACTGAACCTCTCTAGCACTTCTCTCCTCCAGTCCATGTCTTGGTGGCAGCGTTGGTGGCATCAGTGATCCGAAGGGCTGTCCTCCTGGACTTACCGTGTGTTTGTTTTGTCTTCCAGTGGGCCCAAGCGTTACGACTGGACTGGGAAGAACTGGGTGTACTCGCACGATGGTGTGTCCCTCCATGAGCTGCTGGCCGCCGAGCTGACCGCAGCCTTGAAAACCAAACTGGACTTATCTTCCTTGGCCTACTCTGGAAAAGGCACTTGATGCCCAGCCCAGTTTTAAAGACATTAAAAGCTGTCAGGCCAAGACCCCAGCTTCGCTCTGCAGCCGAGTGTCTGTTTTTTCCAATTCCTGCTTTTGAGGACAGTTGCTTGTGCATAGCAGCTCTGTGAAAAGAAGGTGTCGCCTTCCACCCTGCCCCCAAGTTCTGATTTTCAATTTTTATAGAGGTTTTTTTTTTTGCATTTACTGTCTGATTTCCTCCTTCACATGCGAATTATACCCCTTTTATAGTGTCTTCTACCTATACCTTAATATAATCACCTCATAAAAAGAAAAATAAGAAGAAAAAATTCCAGGAGGAGAAATGAATTGTCTTCACTCTTGATTCTTTGAAGGATTTACTGCAAAAACTGCATGAAGAGGGCTGGCCCTTCTGTCTCAAAATGAGACTCATTAAAGGGTAGCCTATAAATGTTCCCAGGCCTCTTTCAAAGTGTAAGCACTTCTGAGCTCTTTAGCATTGAAGTGTCAAAAGCAGCTCACATGGGAAGATCATCCCCCATCTGTGCTTCATGCCTGCCAAGGTATGGCCTACCCTGGGTTATCCACAGACACTTGCTGCTGTTTCTTCCACATATTCAAACATATATGTGCACACGCACACACTTGTATGTGTGTATATACATTTTTTTTTAATTTAAAGGTCAGTACAGAATCAGCTGCTGCAATACGAGTTGGAGAATGCAAAAAAGTCTCCTAAAGACAGGAAGGGGGGAGAAAGCCATTTCCAAGAGCTGAGTGATGTAGGATAATAAACAAAGTCACATAGAGCTGAGGAGTACCTTGTAAGTGTGAAGGGTCATATAAATGAAAGAGATACTTGAATTGATAAAAAGAACCCTAGTCCTAGACACGGCTCCGCCGCAAAGTAGTTGTGTATCTGTGGACAAGTTTCACAGACTCCCTCACCCTCTGCTTTCCTGTCTGTTAAATGAGAGGATGGAGTATAGTTGATTCCCAACATTCAGTGTCCCATCAGGCAGCCGAACAGGCTGGCGTTACTTCCCACTGGGTAGATGAGGGGATGACAATGAACATTTTTTAAGCCATATTGTAACACAGGGAATGGCCTGAAAAAGGGTAAAAGTTTTTACAAGCTGTCTCTTTAAAACCTCCCCGATTCTTTTTGCAGATTAAAACCTGCATCCCTGCTGAGGCCAGTAATCCAGGGACAGGGGAGTGTCCTTTGTTTTCTTGTACCACAGGAAATGGCTCAAGGGAATTGTCCTGGCAGAGGTCATGAGATTGTCTTCCCTCCAGATGGGGTCTATCAGGACCATCAACCATAGCTAAACAGCAAGAGCCCCAAACCGAAAACCCCCCTTTAAAAGTTCTGTGTTTCTGCTTATAGACAGGACGTTGGTACTTTAACACAGGAGTTTGCCAGCCTCCTCATTTGCCAGCAAATTAATAAACCTCCCTTTCCTTCTCAAACCACTGTCCTCATTCTTCTGATGTGGCCTTGGGGGCAAGTGTCAAACTTCTGGTAATGATATAGTAATTGTATTGTTATAGGTGTTGCTCTTTTGAGATTTCAGTTCAATTCATGATAAAATGATAGCATCCTTTTTTGGGCCCTTACTGGGTTATTACCTGTTACACCCTATTACCTCATTTTAATTTTTACTGACCTGCACTTTATACATGAAGCCACAGGGTCCAGGACATTAAAACTCACCCAAAGTTATCTCATGTTATATTATTTTCTTACTAAAGATTCATTACTGACAAGTCCGTGTGAATGTGTAGCAAAGGCTTTTGCAATGGGTGAACAAAAACGCATTCCAGCATAGACAAGGAGAACAATAGAACAGTATAAACAAATACTAAATGGGTGTTTAAAATATTTTTTTCTTCAGAAATAAAACTATTTTTTGATTCTGGTGGAAATTTTTAAGTTGAGTAGGTCAGTGCCAATGAGAAAATAAATAAAATTGTGTATGTGTGTGTGTATTTATGTATTTATGTCTTGCTTCTAATGAAAGTTTCATTGTACCTCACTTGCTTGGAGCTCAGTGACGTGGTGAACTCATCTATCCAGAGCACAACACAATCTTAAGAAGTGTGCAGTGGGGCTGCTGTAACATGAAAGTGTAAGTTAAAAAATCTGTGCCCTTCTGGGCTCCTTGTGGGCCAGCCCTTCAAGCCTATTTACTTTTACTTTACATATAATTCTAACTGGTTTAATTATCTCCTTTCCAAGACAGTAGGAGATCTCCATTTAAGGAAGGAAAAGGACTTCAAGGACATGAACAGCAGCAGGGAAAGAACCATTCTCTGGGCTGGGCACGTGGCTCATGCCTGTAATCCTAGCACCCTGGGAGGCTGAGGGGGAAGCATTGCTTTAGGCCAGGAGTTTGAGACCAGCCTGGGGAACATAGTGAGACCCCCATCTCCACCAGAAAATTTAAAAATTAGCTGGGCATGGTGGCATGTGCCTGTAGCCCTAGCTACTCAGGAAGGTGAGGCAGGAGGATCACTTGAGCCCAGGAGTTCAAGGTTATGGAAGCTATGATGGTGCCACTGCATTCCAGCCTGGGCAACGGAGTGAAACCCTGTCTCAAAAAAAAAAAAAAAAAAAGAAGAAAAAGAAGAGCAAAATCATGCTCTGACAAGCAAACTGGAAGAGTATCACAACGTGGGCCAACAGCACCCTGCACCTCAGACCCTGGGTGGGCCGCCTCATTGATGATATAGCCCAGTCACCCATGTTGAGGATGAGTTTTCAGGAAAAGATTGCTAAATATTCACTATAACATGTTGAAGGAGGCAAAGAAATGCATAATAAAATTTTAGAAAGCTTTTTCTCTTATATTTACCTTCTTGAGTAAATAGGCCCTCAGCCATATAGAAAATAAAATTTTCAGGCCTGGTGCGGTGGCTCACACCTGTAATCCTAGCACCCTGGGAGGCCGAGGCAGGAGGATCGCTCAAGTTAAGGAGTTCGAGACCAGCCTGAGCAAGAGCGAGACCCCATCTCTACTAAAAATAGAAATTATCTGGAAAACTAAAAATACATATAGAAAAAATTAGCCAGGCATGGTGGTGCATGCCTATAGTCCCAGCTACTCGGGAGGCTGAGGCAGGAGGATCGCTTGAGCCCAGGAGTTTGAGGTTGCTGTGAGCTAGGCTGATGCCACGGCACTCTAGAAAAAAAAAAAAAAAAAAAGAAAAAATTTTCAGAATGATTTGTTTACCTCTCTGAAGTTACTACAGAGAAGTACTGAAGTGTGTAAAACAGAATCTGAGTTTTTTAATCAGAAGTTTTGAAATGTAAACTCTGCCTCCTGCCTGCTTGTAGACACCAGCCGCAGTATTTTTATCTGTGAAATGGAGATATCCAACATGTTGAGCCTGAGCCCACAGGCAAAGCACAGTCCTGAAATGAGAAATACTCAATTCATGACAAGTATTGTTTTCACATACATAGCAGAATTTCATATTCACATTAGGGGCTTTCCCCCAAAATATTATTTATGACATCCTAATCAACCTTGAACTTAAGTCAAAATGCTCATTTTACTTAACTTGATAATGGATTCTGATTCTCTAGAGCAATCTAAAACAATTTCTCTTATGCCCTACCATGCTTATGTTTTATTACTCCATCTTCTGTATACTTTCTAAAAATATGTCAGCCCATTTTAAGTTCAATAGTTTATGTTAAATAATAGGTTTACAACATGCTTTCTCCAGCTACACCTGCCCCAAATTCTGATACGCCCCTTTGCCACCTCTAAAGAAAGACCCATGTTCATAAAGATGGAGTTTGTGTGAATTGACTATACAAGGTTGCCAAGGAAAACTAGCTTCTCACTTCCAAGGTACACATTAAGATTAAAGTAATTTTAGTCCATGTCCAGTTGAATTCTTGGCGTGTATTTATCTTCTGCAAACTAAAATAGCTACGTGCCAGAAAGGGAGAGAGGGGAGGAAGGGACAAAGTTAATGAAATTTTATATGACTTTATGCTGCTGTTCAAAACTACAACTTCATGACTGTCATTCTGTGTATAGGGTAAAAAATGCTTTCAAATCCTTGGCTTGAATTAATTAACCACGACCCTTGGGATGCATCTTAAGGTTCTGATTAGTAGCCCCTTTGGAATGTGTAAAACTGAGCTCACTTACATCCCAGCATCCGTTTCAGAGATAGGATCCAAGCTCATCTGTTCTGTCTTCTTTGGCTGTATAGTTTAAGAAATAGAATACACCAGAACAGATTTATTGAAATGTTTATTAGCTGAAGATTTATTTAAACTGTTGAGGAAAACACCTGCACCCAGCAGTAAAATTGGCTCCCAAAGATTTTCTTCTACTGTGAAAAGAAAAATCAGGCCTCTGAGGCCCCATCCAGGTATAAATGCTACTACAAAACAGGCCTCTGCTAGTCATTTGTGTTTCTGTGATCTGTGGGAACGTTGGTAATGCCACATCTTGATCTCAAAGTTTCTGGTTTCCATTTCTGCCATCTTAAGTGGAAAAGTGGCTAAATTATATAGAAAAATAAGACAATGTCATTCTCCAATTACCATTCCTTTCCTACCCCTCTCTACAATGCTAGCTGAAATTTTTCTAAAATAAAGTGGCTTAAATAAAACCCTAAGAGAAAGAAAAACTTCTACATCTCCAGTGTTTAAAAGTAATAGAAACAGATGAGTTTGCAGTCAGGATTGCTGTGTAAGGCTGCCCAGACTGGGCACTGCACAACTCCAGATGCTGCTTTACACAAAGATTACGGTAACTACAACGTCATGTGAATGGTTTGCAGTGGCACAGTGGTTTGCAGTGGTTTGTATGCTTTTCTCCTGTTAATCTGTCGTATATCAGTTTAATTCTTAGGCCTAGCCAGAAACTAAGAGGGTAGAGCAGAAATGTTTCCTCCCCTATATGGCAAAGAGATATTCTATAATAAAACTAGCCTCAACACTTAAAAAATAGAATGTCATAAAAAATAAAAGAAAGCAAAACAGAAAGGCAATTAATAACACCAGGGAACACAAAGAGTGTTCCCTTTTCCAGCTACGTGTCTGTGAGACTAGGCTTTCTGCATATACCCCAACCAAAACAGCATATTGCAACAGATAGAATGAAGAGGCAGGTACAAGAATCTAGCTATTTTCTATTAAGCCAAACATTAGTGTTTTATAAAACTCTAGAATAATGTCCTTCTCACCAAATATTTTGTTTTGGAAATAGTTATTTATAATAAAATGTCATTAATATTAATGGACAATGGGTTTATGATTGTTATTTCTAAATTTATGAACTAATAAACATTTTCAGAATTTCTCAGATTTAATTTTAGATATGGTAAAAATGCATAGATATAACACACACAAACAAAAGCTCTTTGGAATCCTCTGTAATGCTTAAGAGTGTAAGGGGTCCTGAGATTTTTTTAAGAGTTTGAGAACCACTGCACTCTCCTATCCTGCTAGCCGTCACTCTACCCTGGTTCTCTCCCCTGGCAGGAGAGTCCTGGTCGACACTACAGCGTCCCCTAGCTGTCATCTGAGGAACCTCTCTCCATTTGGGCTTTCCATTTTTTCTTCCCCTTTTAAGAGCCCCTTTGTCTTTCATCCAATTTTGTGCAACACACACAGGGCCCTGCTTCTTCCAGATCTGGCAGTGGGCTCCTTGAAACCCAAGGGGACCCTTCTGTGTGGCACAGGGGATGGAGGAAAGAGAGACGGGCCTTCTCATTCCTCTGCTGGATGTGCTGTCCGTGACACATTGTGACCTTTCCTGGGATCTGACTCCTTTATCCAAGCTACATATGTGCTCAACCCTGGAAGGAAGACTAGGGAGCAGAAAGTCCAACCCTGCCTCCTGCTCTGTGTTAGCAGTGTCTGGATGGGTAAGGGGGCTACCTTGCTATCTGCTCCTGCGAACTAAAATAAAATCTTAAGCCTCCCAGCTGACTGAATGTTCCCCATTTTGGCCAAGGGGACCCCAGAAATACCCTAAAGCTGAGTTGCTGGCCATGAGAAGGGGGGTCAGACATGCCTGTTCATGTCTCCCTCCCTTCTTAGAGATGTCCTTTGCAACTCATGAACAGCCCTA